TGATAAAGAGTTCAAACCGTCAGAAATGAATATTTTTCAGATATTAAAAGAGTTAAAACAGACTGCTAGAATAAATTTCTTAAAGAAGTATAAGAGAAGAAAGTTTTTAAAGCTTTTAACTATACTAAAACAAGAAGTGTAGCAAAACTTCCAGTCTTAGAATATGAGTTTCAGAATGAATCATATACAGCAAACTCTTTTAAGGAAAAATGTCAAGCTTTTATGAGAATTCTCTTTCAGAACTCATCAGATTCAGATTCAGATTCAGAGAAAGAGAATATATCACTTCTCAACTACATTGATGAAAATGACTGAGAATGGCCTGATCTTACACAAGATGAATTAGAGTCAGCTATCTTCTCAAGTTCTGTTAAAACTGCTGCAGATCCTGATTCAATTAATCACTTGATTATTTAAAATATATATTCCTACTTAAAGAATGAATATTTTGAGCTCTTTTTCAATCTCTTGAAAAATGAATATTATTCTGAATGCTGGAGAGAAGCCACTGAAGTGATTCTTATAAAACCTAATAGAAAAACTTCAATTCCTAAGTTATATAGAGTAATATCTCTATTGAACTGCCTAGAAAAGGTTTTAGAAAAGATAATGACTACTTAACTATCTTTTATAAGCTCTATAGATGATTCTCTTTTATTCAGTGAACAAATGAGAGATAGAAAACAGTGTTCTGCAATTAACACTGTTCTCTCAGTTGTTCATGATATTTAAATAGCAAAGTATGAGAGTCTGGTCTCAACTGCAGTTTTTATTGATATAAAAGAAGCATTTAATCATGTTTCAAAGTCAAAGTTAATTCAGATATTGAAGATATTAAAACTGTCACTTTCTCTAATAAAATAAGTTAACTGTTTTATATCTAAAAGAATTATACAACTCTTCTTTGATGGAATGAAATAAGACAAGACTGAGATAAAAATAGAAGTATCATAGAGATCTTCAATCTCACTTATTTTATTTACAATATACACTGTATATCTATTCAAAAATAGAAATATGAGAATAGTGTTATCTCTGAGTTATATGAATGATATTGATCTAATCTACAGCTCAAAAACTATCAAAGAGAATTTGAAAGTAATTAAAGAAGCTGTAAAGAAAATCTTTGTTAGAACAGATATCAATCAAATTCAATTTAATATGAATAAAACTGAGTTAATTTATTTCTTTTCTAGATTTAATAAGAAAGAACTATCTCTAACTCTTTTAAATAGAGAGATTAAACCCAGTGTAAATATCAAATAATTAGAAGTATAATTAAACTCCAAGTTGAATTTTAAATATTATATTTAACAAAGAACTGTCAAGGCAGAAAGACTATTGAACAACATAATCAGACTATTAAATACAGAGAGAAGTCTATTCTTCCAGACTATGAGACAGTTATATATAGCCTGTATTACATCAGTAGCTGATTATGAAGTTCAAGTTTGATGAAATAATCAAGAGAATTTCACTAAACTCTTTCAAAGTCTGTAAAACAGAGTCTTGAGAAGAATTCTGAGAGCATTCAAATCATCTTCTATTAAAGCAATGAAAATTGAAGCTTCAATTTCTCCTTCTACTATTAGATTGAAAAGGCTGTATGAACTATGCTCTGAGAGTTGTAAAGATGAGCTTAAATTATATAATCAGAGAAAGAGTCTCTTCTTCATTTTCATTAATTAACTCTAGAAATGAACTGGATTGAAATAGATTTCTTGATTGAAATGAACATAATTCTTCAAAGAAAATGCCTTCTCAACTGTACAGACTATACTCTCTGATTAAAAATTAATTTTCTTCTTTAAATATTGAAAAAGTTGATTATGAGAAGTTATCTCTCTGAAGAGAAAAGCTTGAATCTCTTATAAACTTATAAATAAGTGAACTATTAAAAGAGAAAGAATATGAACAGCATTTGAAGAGAAGTTCTACAATCAATATAAAAGACTCTATTCTGATTTATTCAGATGACTTAAAAAATGAGAACTTGAATAGATTAGATACAGGCATTGCTTATACTGAAGATAATATTAATTTTATCTTAGATTTCTGGAATCTGAGCTCTGAATGTGAAGTCTTTGATGCTGAACTATTTGTAATAGTGAAAGCTTTCAAACTCATTGAAATAAAATCTTATAAAAGAGGAAATTATTTGAAAGAGATATGAATATTCTCTGATAGTCAAGCTGCTTTAAAAAGACTTAGAAATAGTCAGATTTATAATGATCAAATGAATCTTAAACTGATCTTAAACTCTGTTTTAAAAATTCAAAAGAGAAGAATATCAAAGCTGATAATTCATCTGCACTGAGTTTCTGCTCATATGAATATTCATGATAATGAATTGGCTGATTCAGCTGTAAAAAAGGATGTAGAATTAAGTAGATCTATTCAAAAAATTATGTCCTGGTCTTTTATAAAGAGAAAAATAAAAGAATCTTGTTTAGATAAGTGAAATAAAAGCTGGCAGAAACAAAAGAAGAGTATACATTATTCAAGATTTGAAACAAAACCTAAGTGAAAATCTTGTTCAATTAAATATAAAAAGAAAATATTCTCATCTATAATACAGCTGAAACTAGAATATGACTATTTTAAATCTTATATACAAAGATTTGATGATAGATTTGACTCAATAGAATGCTCATTCTGCAATACAAATGAGAATTCTGAGTATATTGTAATACACTGTGCATTATACAATAGTCTCAGAGCCAGATTAAAAGAGAAGTATGATCTAAATCAATTAAATATGAGATTCTTATTTTCAACTGAGACAGGAATTAAATACTTAATAGACTTTCTATCAGAAACTCAAGCAGCTATAAGAAAATGGCTAAATTCAGAATTATCTGAATATGAAGAGGAGAAAATCAATCAGATATAGTCTGTTAAAACAGCTATACACTCTCTTTTAATAATTTGTTTTGTTATAGTCTCTCTTTACTTTATCTTTTTCTTTATCTTTTTCTTTCAATTTCTTTCTATCTATCTATTTAATGTGTCTATCTTTGAGACTGTGTTCTTTTTCTCTTTTCTTTTGTCATGATATTGTCAAATGATTTCAAAGTATCAAAAGATGTTAAAACACTGCAATTTGTAAACAGTTTTTGTATTCTGAGCTGGAATTTTCTGATTTTGTATATCTGAAATTGATGAATGTATAATAGTTAACTTTACAGACATAGAAAAAACCCTGAGAACTAAAGTTCTCAGGTAGATGTCATAGTCTCTGACTACATACATCTATAATTGAAGAATAATAATAATAATAATAATATATAATCAGAGATTTATAATATCTTCTATATAAACTTACTCTGCTATGCTATCACTGATTCATTCTCTTCTCAACTGATTTCTGACTGACAGCTGCCAGGAATCATAGAAGAAGATAATAAACTTAAATAAGAGATTGAAGATATTCTTGATAAGAGACTCTGCAGCTGTGACTGATAATATCTTATAAAATGAGTTAATTATAATTATCTGATCTGAACTCTGAGTTCTGCACTATCTGAGACTGCAGCTCTTGACTAATGAAAACTATGTATAATCAGAGAAGAGAGAGACTAATGTAATAAGCTGCACTTAATTATTATATAGACTATTTCTTTACAGTTTATAGATTTCACTGAAAGCTCTGATTCTCAGTCATTCTTAATTACTGATTCTCAGCTGAAAAACTCATAAAATTTCTATTCTTCTGCTCTGAAGCTTCACTGTGTATATACTGTGTATATGTATAAATATTCACTCTGATTACTGATTCTTACACTTTCTCTTTCTTTTTCTTCTTTAATATTTTTCACTTTGTTATATAAGATTTATATATTATACTGATCTATTCGGCGTAGGCCTCTTACAAGTAGAGAGATATTCAAATAAATAAATTTAATAAATTATATATAATATTATATTTTAATATTTTTTATATGAAAAAGTTGATTTTTTTAAAATAAAGAGAGAAATATATAATATAATATAACTTCTTCAATAATAAATAGAAGATTAACTTAATTGTTTTTCAAAATATTTAAATACTCAGCTCTGCTCTTCAGTTTATACAGCTTAGATTAATTTTCAAATCTTCAATTTTCTTTTTTTTTTCATTTTTTTTTTTTTTTTCATTCTGCTCTTTTCAAACATTCTCTACAGTTTTTACATTTCTTATACTCTTCTCTGTGTTCATAGTATATGCTGCTAAATGCTCTGTAATATGATCTCATGTGATGTCATGTGCATCTCTTTGAATTCATGAATGAGATTGAACAGCTGACTCTGCAGTCTGTACAGCTCCGATTAATCTGATAATGGTGATAGAGATGATACAGAGTGAAAGAGAGTAGTAGAGGCAGTAGAGGTGGTGATGGTGATAGAGAGGGTAGAAATGATAAGAGAGGAGTAGAGGTAGAGAGTGAAAGCGATAGAGGGGGCTGCGGGGGGTAGGGGCGGTGGTGGTGGTAGAGGCAGTAGAGAGTGAAAGGGGTGGAAGGGGTGGTAAGAGGGGGGTAGGAGCAGAGGGTGGAAGTGGTAAGAGAAGCTGCGGGGCGGTAGAGGCAGTGATGGTGGTAGAGGGGGTAGAGGGTGGAAGGAGGGGGGAGAGGTAGGGGGTGGAAGTGGGGCTGCGGGGCGGTAGATGTGGTGGTGGTAGAGGGGGTAGAGAGTGAAAGGGGTAGAAGAGGTGGTAAGTGGGGGGGTAGGGGCAGAGGGTGGAAGTGGTAGGGGGGGCTGCGCAAGCAGCAAAGCGAGCGTAAGCGAGCATTTGATGCTTGTAATAACTCAGTAATAATGCGATCAATCTTGAAACCCGCTGTTTGCTGAGCAACGGGATGCAAATGAATTAAATATTCCACATACACAACACATAAAAAGAAAACGCGAGAGTCTTTTATTATTCCATTTCCATTCCATTGCAAACCCGGGACCGAGATTAGTTTTGAAAGGGACTTGTATCAGCTAGTTATCTTAATCGGGCAGTAAGAGACAAGACAAGAATGATGAAAAAATATATAAGGAAAAAAAAAAAAGTGAAAAAAGTTCAGAGAAGAAATAACTATGATATGTGGAAGAGTGAAAATGCAGTTCATTATTACACAGGAAAAGAAAAATAAGACGTCTCCCGCAGAACAATAAATATAAGATGTTTTACATGTTTTGAACCTTTAGCAAAAAAAATAAATAAATAAATAAAAAGGCCAGAAAGGGACAGGACGAAGATGTAGGCAGAAGAAAAGAACTAGCATAACAGCAAAACGAAAGACCCGACAGTGTATCCCGCTTTCTTTCTTTAAAAAAAAAAAAGAAGAGCAATGAGAGAACTCCAGCTATGTTAGAAGTAAAAACTCAGGCTTCAAGTGTTTTGTGCTTCTTTTTTTCAGGAGTTTATCATACACTTTCAACCTTCCAGCTCCATGTTTTGGCGTGGGTGGATTATATTATTTTCAATTTGTTTTGTTCATTTTTGTGATTTTCAGCTTTTTCTTTCTTCTCTTTCATTCTCTGCAAATGTTACCCGTTGGCTTGGTTGGTAGTATGCAGTAATCAACCCACAAATCCTCAGGGTAGGGGGTGTAGTCCCGTGCCTGTTCCAATCCTTCCATCTCATTTTCCCACCCTCTCATCATCACCCTCACCCTCCCTCAGCCCTCAGGCGGGTATCTCAAAATTATAAGAAAGGGAAAAAAAACATGAATAATCAACCCCTGGAACTTACTCGCCAGCCTTGCCAGACCGCTTCTTAGCTTCTCCCTTCACATTATCCGCCGCAGTGCTAACAGCCTCTGCGGTCTTCTCCTTACCCTTTTCAGCCTGCTTTTTGGCAGCCGGGGCCGAGCTGGGGCTGCCAAGGCCAACAGCACCAACAATGATGAGGACGAGAGTGACAAGGAGAGCCCCCAGACCACCGGCAACCTCTGGAACAGCCTTAACGGCCGCGACCGGGTTCTCGAGCGCGAGGGAGATGAAGAGCTCAATCTTCCCGCGGATGTACTTGACAGGGGCTTCTTTGAACGAGAGGGTTCCTTCCTTCTTCTCCTCATCCTTGGGCCGGGCGGCTTCCTCTTCCGCAACCTCGACCGGATGCTTGAGGTCCCAGGTCTCGGCCTTCAGCTTCTCGGCGTCCTCGACGGAGTGGCCAATGTAGATGTTGTCGAAGAGGATGTCGTTTTGCATGGTCCAGATCTCAAAACCAATCTAGTAGTGTGCTCGTTAGTTTACGTCATTCTGGTTTTCAATTGAGGATATAAAGCTCGAGGGTGACGTTAACAAAACTTACAGCGCCCATGGGTTCAAAGTTGGAGGGGGTTTTGTCTTCGAAATAGTTGGGGTTGGCGATTTTGCGGGGAGCCCATGGTCCCTTGTAGGCAGGGTTGTCGATCATAGGAGCGGTCCATTTGCCCTTGTATTCTGGGTTCTTCTTCATCGGGGGCTCCCACATACCACAGCCAGATACTTCGCTGCACTTGGGATTGGGAATGGTAGGTGGGATCCAGTCTCCGTCCTCCTCATCATCCCAATCCTCGGGCTTCTGAGCCTCTGGGTCAGGGATGCTAGTAGGCTCATCGACCAACCAGTCCTCGGGCTGGGTCGCATCGGTGTCAACAATTTCATAAGGGGCATCCTCATCCCAGTCTTCGGGCTTGGTTGCTTCGGGATCAGGGATGTGAGCTTCGTCAACCCAATCCTCCGGCTTCTTATCTTCGGGGTCATCAATTTCCTTCTCAGGGTTGACGGCCGGGCTGAAATCTTCAAGCAAGGTGCCGTTCTTAACAGCGGCACCATCAATCCGGATCTGGAATGATTGGTCTGGATTGACGATGAGAGTATAAAGAGTGGACAGCTTGCTTACGCGAACAGCTGGTGGCAGCTTCATATGCTTCTCTTCATACTCGCCAGTCTTGGGGTTCTTGTGTTTGAAGATGAAATGGACCTATATATCAGACTATATCAGTACGCTGTACTTTTGATTATAATTGAAGTTGAAGAATTAACAAACCTTGTTGGTAACCCCGCACTTGTCGGGTCCGAACATGATCACGTATGGAGAGGTGTTCGAGAATTCCTCCGCGTGCAGCTTCTTATTGTCCTGAAGAAGCTTCATGTATGCACCACCGCAATTCAGAGAGTCTGCCCGATGTCAGCCGATGATCAACAGCCCGGACAAATAGAAGACAAAAGCACAATCCGTTTCCTGTACTTACTCTGAAGTTTGACTTCATATTGAACCACCAGGGTCTTGCCCTTGTTGTCAATCTTCTTGGGGAACTTGGCGGAAATCGCGTGGTGGGCGGCGGGATTCTTCACCACGAGACCCTTGTCGCCAACCATGCCATTGAAGACATGTGGCTCCTCAACAGCCCAGGTTCCGACATAGGCCCAGTCCTCCTCTGATTTCGAATCCTCCTTCTTGGCATGAGAGGGCGTCCACCGGGTCTCCCAGCCATCGGTGAATTGCTCGAGGAATGGAGCTTTGAGGGTGGTGGGCTGAAATGGATAGCATCTATTTTAGCATTCTTTTGGACTTTGTTTAACAGCCCCGAGGATGGGAGCTTAGATAGAGCTGATGGGTAAGGAAGGGGAAATTGCAGTGACTTACAGTAAATGTAGGCTTCTCAATCACAGATGAGGTAGAAGTGGCATCCTCCTTGACCTCGTCCTCTGCATGGACATTGCCAATGAGAGCTATCGAGGAGAGGATGAGCGACGCCAGGGAAGCGTTGAGACGCATTGTATTGTGACGGACGGGCCTCTCTATGAGGAACAGGAAACAAGATGGTAATCAGCACAAAAAAGGGAACAAGGCGATCAATCCACAGGACACGAAGAGAGGAAGAAACAGACGGGGAAGCAGAAGAAAGGAGAGGAGGGACGTTGGTGATATTCTTATATGGGGCGGACGCTGGAGGAGTTAGTTAATCAAAGGTGGCCTCTTTACAGCCCAGCACCAGCAGGAGCTGTCGTCGTAATGCCTGGTAATGTTGCCGTAGCTTGGCGGAACTTTGGGCGCTGACTAAACAGTCTTACGCTTTGGAAATTGGCCCAATCAGGAATGGTCGGCAGGATTATTCTCGAACATTCCTGGCCCGGGCTGGTATTTGGCGCGTATTTGTCGGTATTCGTCGGCTTGTCTACGAAATATAGTTACTTCCGGTTATATCAATCGCAGTCTTTTATCTAACTATATTTATTTCCCTACAAGTCAATCAACCAACTCATCTCATGCGAGGGTTATACGGAGTATACATATATCCATATCCATATCCATATGCACAATCATATTCAGATTGTCCACGGCGTTGATGCTAGCTATGGTAAGGCTGACTGACCTGCTGAACTTGCTTCATATTTACAGACTTACTCTAGCTGAAGCTACTGATGGAACAGTTTCATTGCAAAAAGGTCTTGGAGCATTGTATATCCAGTCTAGAATACTTCTATCTCTGCCTAGATTCCTCTCCAGAACGACTGGGCAGTTCGGTCCGGTGCATTCCCGCGCCAATAAGGCCAGCCGACTATTGAACTAACATCCTTGCTTTGAATTGAGTTAGAACATTTTGACACAAAGCTATACGCTGCTACTTTCTTAGCCAGGGGGATGATTTCAAGAGCAAAATGCTAAGATAGCTCTCTAAAGAATGTATCCGCATGTGTCGATTGATAGAGAGGAAACGAGGGGAGGTATATCAGTCCGGAAGTCCCTTGTTCTACGATGACGATGATATGAAATGAACGGATGTTCAATCGCATCCTCCGGTGTGTGCATAACAGTATTTTCTCTCAAGTTTGAGCATTTGCGATGCACTCTGACTTGAGCTGCCAACCCCTCCGCTCCAGCTTTGTCGCGCTAGTTGGGAACGTATTTAAGCTTTGCGCCTAGTCCGCTACAAGGGACTACGACCAGCAAGATCGAACTTCAAACTCAATCAGCGAACTCTTTTTTATTGAATCTACAACGAGTTTCCTACTACCCACCCCCTTCCACGCCAAAATGTCAGCCATCAAGGACGAAAGAAATAATGACCATCTCGTGCAGTCTCACGATCCCGAGCATCCTGCTAATTTAATACCGGCTCTCTGCCGCAATTTCTACGGCCATGGCTGGGTTACTGGGACTGGAGGCGGGGTAAGCTAGATCAAATACCTCAATATATTTATGGCAGTTAATATATATATATATATATATATATATATATCCAACACCTTCTGTCATTTCTATAAAAACAGGCCCCTTTGAATACTAACCAAAGGATAATTTTATTCTCCATACATAAATATAGGCATCCATCAAGCGAGATAACCACATCTTCATAGCTCCATCCGGCGTCCAGAAAGAATTAATCCAACCCCACAACATCTTTGTTCTGCAATATCCCACCCCAAAATACCCTCCATCAGCGCGCCAATATATCCGCAAACCACTCGAGCTCAAGCCATCTGCCTGCACGCCCCTCTTCTTGGCTGCTTTCGATCGTGGCGCGGGGTGCTGCATCCATACACATTCGCAATGGGCCGTCCTTGTAACCCTTCTCGTCGAGCGTGAGAAGGGGCTGGAGGGTTGTTTTGAGATCAGCAACATTGAGCAAATTAAGGGGATACCAAAAGGCAAGGGGAAAGGCATGATGGGTTTCTTTGACACGCTCAAGATACCCATCATTGAGAATACGGCGTTTGAGGAGGATTTGACATCTAGCCTCGAGGAGGCTATGGAGAAGTACCCGGATACATATGCGGTTCTGGTCCGGAGGCATGGCATGTGAGTTTTCTTTAGTTCATAATATCTGCGCACATATAATTTATCCCTCCCCTTCAAAATATCGAATTTCTTTCTTTAGTTGTCCGACTTGTACTAACAGTGTCGCTTCCTTTTACCAGATATGTCTGGGGAGACGATGTCGCAAAAGCCAAGACGCAGTGCGAGAGCTTGGATTATCTTTTCCAGCTGGCGGTCGAAATGCATAAGCTTGGTTTGCCATGGGTGAAGCCATGACGTGACCTGTGGAAACAGGTTCATAACCTTGGTAAAACACAGCTCCGCACATACAATGACGCGCACGCCCAATATCAGAAGCCCTGATGGATGATTTCACGGCATGTCTTGCTTTACGGAAGAACACCCTTTTGACGATATAGGACCGGTGGAACTTTTCTCTCCCTACCGTGATATCAACTTTCATATCCGGAATGGATGGTTAGCAAGAGGTTGTTTTCAACATGACCCTCTCTGGATCAGACAGGTTTCCGGGTTATAGCAGTATTAGTTATCATTAATTTTAGAGCATAGAGACGATATCTAAATTCCAATATCAGTTTCTGCTTTCTAGTTGGTTTCTTTAGAAAATATATTACGCGACTTGTAATTTTGGTATTCTGTACAGCGGCGGCTGGTACCGTACGGAATAAACATCAGCATCGTCCGACTCTCGCCCCAAGACAGCTGCAAGACAAGCTGCAATCTATCCCACCACAACCTCCATCACCAACAACTAGTATATCGCTGGTTTCTTTATTAGTTGACTGGATCACAATTAATTCTCACAGCAAAGGGCAATATACCCCTGAAACATGGATTTAGTAGGGGGCGACTCGCCCTGGGGTGGTAAGCTAGGCATCATCGCTCTCTCCCCTCACAGATTACATACAGTCAGTACATCTAACAATTGTTGCCTCTCGCAGACGTTCCGTCCCAGTCCACACCTACCGAAAGGCAAGAATCTTCTGCCACTGGTACGCAACCTGTGTCCCTCTAATGACCTGCAGAATAGATCAAACTTGAACTCTTGTTGACCCCAATGGTTGCGCATAGCAAACGAGACCGAGCAACGCCCCCTCTCAACCTTAACAGCCCCCCGATCTCCGCTAGGCAGAGGACCGCGCACCCCTCGCAAAATCAGCGCACAGGCAACGAGGCTGGAAGCCGTCGACGACTCTCTCGATCCGCTTGGCCCGTTGGGCGACAAGTCCTTCCCTTCCATCCCGTCATACCCGGACCAAGCCCCGACCCCTCCCCGAAAAGAACCTTTCGCGAGCAGAAATGTCCGTCCGGCCTCATCTACATCCCAGTCGTCCGCTGGCGGGTTGATGGACTCTGTGGACTTGGACGATGAGGGCCAGCCTGCGCGTGCGAGAATGAAGGGCCCTCCGCCTGTCCACTCCCCTATTGATGCCCCGAAGCGCCAGACGCAGCCAAGTATTCCTGTCGAACAGGCTGCGAAACCGTCGTTTGAGATTACAGTTGGAGATCCGCACAAAGTTGGGGATATTACAAGCAGTCACATTGTATATCAAGTTAGGACGAAGGTCCGTACCTTCTCTTTCTGATGTTTACGAAAGGCATTTCTCCTGTATCTTAGCTGACAGCGATTTGTTCCCGCAGACTACGTCTAAAGCGTATCGGCAACCCGAATTCACAGTTAGCCGGCGGTATCGAGATTTCCTATGGCTATATAACTCGTTGCACAGTAATAACCCTGGGGTCGTGGTTCCCCCACCTCCGGAAAAGCAGGCTGTGGGCCGTTTTGATACAAACTTTGTTGAATCGCGAAGAGCCGCATTAGAGCGTATGCTCAACAAAATTGCCGCGCATCATATACTACAGCACGATGGAGACCTGAAAATCTTCCTGGAGAGCGATACTTTCAACCTGGATGTGAAGAACAAAGAGAACCGCGAACCAGATATCGGCCAAAGTAAAGGCATGTTCAGCTCATTAGGCATATCTGTTGGCGGGCCGGGCAAGTTTGTTGAACATGATGATGTGCGTGAATTCCCCTAGGATGATAATATGGGAGAGTGTTTTTTTTTTTTTTTTTTCTTTGTGTGCGTGTTGTATAGTTTGGTTACTAAATCTCCACAGTGGTTTCACGATCGCAAAATATACCTTGATGCCCTGGAGAATCAGCTGAAAGGGTTATTAAGAGCCATCGACACTGTGGTTGCGCAACGAAAGGGCCTTGCGGAGGCTGCGAATGACTTCTCAGCATCGCTTCATTCCCTCGCGACTGTCGAACTTTCTCCAACGCTCTCAGAACCGCTCGAGGGACTATCAGATCTACAGCTAAGAATAAAGGAACTCTACGAACGCCAGGCCCAACAGGATATTCTGACGCTAGGAATTACGATTGACGAATATATCCGCCTAATCGGAAGTGTCAAGATGGCATTCTCTCAACGGCAAAAATCTTTCCACAATTGGCACGCGGCTGAATCGGAACTTCAAAAGAGGAAAAACTCCCAGGACAAACTCCTCAGACAGGGCAAGTCCCAGCAGGATAGGCTGAACCAGGCTGCCGCAGACGTGGCTGATGCGGAGCGGAAGGTACATCAGACCCGTCTTTTGTTTGAAGACATGGGTAGAATTATGCGGAATGAGCTAGAGAAATTTGAGAAGGAGAAGGTGGAGGACTTTAAATCTGGCGTCGAAACGTTTTTGGAGAGTGCTGTTGAGGCTCAGAAGGAGGTTAGTTTCCGCCGCCAATTTACTCACCAGCTCGCGTCCTCCACGGACCTCATGACAAAATCACTGACTTGTGTCATCTCGTAGTTGATTGAACTTTGGGAGACATTCCTCCTACAACTTGATGCTGACGACGATACAAACCCTTATTACAACAAACTTGAACCCGCAACGTCGGAGGCTGTGACAGGTGCTTCCGATGGCGGACATGATGTAGAGCCTACTACCACAGAACAGGAGGCATGATTATCAGGGTATTTTCGTTTCCGTTACTCGTTTCTTCCTTGCTTCCTCTATCTCCTACTTGTGCGCAACAACTGTATAGCAGAGAGTAAATTTGATGATGACATTCCGAAGATTTGTTCCTTTGTGAGTTACATAATTTATGCCGTCGAAATTATCGAACCGTCTTGTCTGGCCATAGTTTACGTCTGCTAGGATCATATATTTCATTTCGGTGATATATTTCGTACTTTGACCTTGGAATGCTTGGAATGGCCATCAGGCTTCATTGAGTCGCTCGACATGGGTATATTCGAATAATGAGCCCTCACGCCTAACTTAAGATGCATTATGCAGGCCTGGTCCTATCTTCCACGATAGCTGTCCTAGAATCTAGAGAAGATATCACTACATCGATCTGTTAATATCACATTCACAGTAATTCACACTACACTATACAGAACATACAAGAAGAGGGAAAAGTTTCTCAACCAGGAAAAAAACAAAATACTCCATACATATTCATACAATCCCATATATAAAATAATAAAAAAAAAAAAAAAAGCAAGTCTTAGCACAGAAACATAGGTAAACAATTAAAGAAGAAGAGGAGCCTAGATCCCCTTATTTCTTCTTCCCCTTCCCTTTCCCCTTCTCCGGCTGAGCCTCCTGACTCCCCTCCGTCTGACCAAACGAGCTAATCAAATCCAACAAATTATCCTCTTCCTCATCCTCCTCAAACTCAAACTCCACAGCCGTATCCTCAGCCTGCTTCGCATCAACCCCAGCCTGTCCTGCCGCAGCAGTCGTAGTAGTGGTAGCAGGAGTAGCAGACGCAGCAGCAGCAGAAGAAGCTCCTTCCGCGGCCGCCGTACCCGTCGCATCCCAACTCCGACCAAACTTGCTTCTAAACGCCGCTAGCCGCCCTGCCTCATCCTCCTCGACGTTTCGCAGCTTCTCGCTGGACGGGTTCCACAGTGGTGCGTTGCGCGTGTCGCGTGTTGAGCGGTAGACGGCAATGGGGGAAGTGGTGCGGTGGGTGAAGGTGCTGCCGTCCGAGAGGGTTATGAGCTGGGTGAAGGTGTATGGGCGCTTGGGCCGTCTGAGGAGTGTTGCATGTCTGCATTGTGTGTAGATGAAGGTGGTTCTGGTGGGATTGGAGAGGGCGGTGGTGGATGTCCGGCGGATGGGGAGGTGGAGGGACATTCTTCTCTTGCTTGATGACTTTAGCGTATTGGGGGGTTATTGGAGGGACGGTATCGATTTTGAACTAGGTATTCGGGCGTTTAATTGAATTAATTGCGCCCGGAAGAGTTGGGATTGTTAAAAGAGTGACCGTGGTGGTGTCTTCCATATTGAAGAATAATTAATTTTTTGATATCGTCGCTTACCTAAGCGACTTTTTTCCAAGATTTTGATTTCATTTTCTATCTACTATCAAGGTTGACTAACGGGAAGATGCAATTGTCTCTCTCTTCTTAAAACTGTGGACATATGCTTCATCACTTTAAAAGATGAATGGCTGCAGGAAAGGTATCTTCTGGACCTTAATCATTCAGGAAGATGTTGCCGGGCGGCTGTTTCTCGAGCCTCCGCAGCACTCAGGGAACCAGGGCGTTCTTCTACTTGCACCATAACGTCAAGCGGCCGCATCTACATCCACATCATGGATACCTGGCCTCCTCCCCTACAAGGGGCGATTACCCTCGTTTCTACGGGCTACTTCGAACCATCCTATCCAAGCATGCCTCAAGTATTACGGATTCAATCCGCCCAGTTTTACCCGGTCGCATCCCGCGAGCCACCTCTCCGCAGAGCACGAACAATTCATCGGATACAATCGTGCGACGCACAGATTACTACACTTCCCAAACAAATGCTGCTGAAAACGTAGTAATCGTGGACGAGGATACCTGTGAACCTCCAGAGGCCACAACGCGAACACAGCGTGAAGCAACTAGTGCCCCCGAAAACCAAATCGGCGACCAAGTGCGCCTGCTCATGCGCCGTGTCCCGCACCCCGTCGCAATAATCACATCCACCGACCCGAAAGCGCCCACAGCACAGACTGCCTTTCGGGGCATGACAGTCTCCTCCTTCAACACAGTAACGCTCTATCCGGAAAGCATCGTCTCATTCAATGTGAAACTCCCCTCCGAAACGTTCAACGCCATCCACGCTTCGTCCCGTTTCCTCGTCCACCTGCTGGCGCCCACGGATGCAACTGCGCGGCTGGCCAGGGACTTCTCCCGAGGAAATGCAAATGTCATGCTTGCTGATGAGAGGGAACGGTTTTTCAAATTTGTCCCGATGAGCGGGGGCCATGATGGTGGGTGGGCGCGGTCATCGATTACGAAGGGGGAACCGCCCCGTCTTGCTCTGATAGGCCATGCAGCGGAGATGGGCGGCAAATCCTCCTTTACCACGGAAAAGGCACGAGCAGATGCAAGCGGTATCACTACACCTATCACGAGTACAGATTATTTCCCATTCATCTTCGAATGCCAATATCTCCCGCGGAGCGTCAAAGTAGGAAACCACGTCATTATACTGGGGCGGGTAGTGAACATCATTCGCCAAGAGGCAGCTGGTGCATCCGATCCTGTAGAGGCACATAGTCCGGAGCATTTATGCTTGACCTACGCTGATACGCGGTTCTGGAAAATTGGAGAGAATATCTCGGTGGGCTGAGATTGGGGGGTCAGTTTTGGGGAATTGGCGTCCTTTATACAACACAATATAATACATATCACTAACTGCTGCTTTAATAAATATGGGGTAGAAACGGAGGTTCACATTGAGCTGCGTGCTTTCTAGGTGTTTGTTGTAGATGGATTTTTTGATATATGTATACATATATCCGTCAGGCGTTTACTCTAGTGATTATTTTCACTCTCCTTCGCTTCACTCATCCCAATAGAATAAATAAAATTTTATACTAAAGTACTCCTCCCATTCAGGGACTCTACATGCTTACGTTGAAGGATCGAACAAGGCCCCAGAGAAAGCATAGACTTTACCTCTTAATATCCCTTTTCGGCGTATGGAAGGAAGCCGTGTGTGGGGTTGGGTGCCTCCATTTAACACATTAGGCAGGGTGTTCTACGAAATCATAATCACGTCATGAGAATGAAAAAAGTGGAAAAAAATGCAGAATACGAAAGAAAGGAAGGAGGAATGAAAGGAAAGGAAAAAGTAAAGCCATACAACTGAACGATGGAATGATGGGTTTAAATATATTCGCTCAAGATGTCTGATGCCTAAATAGTTCTTTGTGGGATTCAAAAAAAGGATTTTGTGCGCAGAAAACTCTTTTAATTTTACCTACTCTTGTCCTGATTGCTGGTTGGCAGTCGTTCTCCCTTCCCGCATTGTCTAATGGCCAAGAAGGGCAAAGAGAGTTGTGCAAGCTTTCGATAGGGGAATTCCTCTTCGTTTTCTCGTCTCCTCCTCCTTCCCCCTTCCCGGGTACGTACTCCTAAGTTCCAAGCTGTACATTAAGTTGTACATTTTGTCCAACCACACGCCAAAATCCGAGGGAAAAAGTTTTATAAACATGTATGTCCGTAAGACTTTTCGAAAGTATAATGTACGCTGTAACTAAGCATTTCCGCCACATACAGTGAGAAACTGAGTTGACAGTGCTGAGCGGTTGGTCCCTGGATGCACGATAGGGGTAGTAATAATATTGGAAAGGGCTAAAGTATGCTGAAGTCATGCATGAGAATTTTGAGGTCTATCGAACGTAGCACCGCTAGTTTCTCTCCGGTATCTAGAACGCAAGCCAAAGGTTGGACGGGTTAAGCAGGCACGTGGAGGTAGATGTAGCAGGACAACAATGCAATATCGAAAAGGACCGAAATGATGAAAGGACGTTCTACAACTTTTAGCACCAACTCGGTTTCTCTCGACTAGAATGAGGGCTTCCGCTCCCACTGTCAGTGCCGCTACCACTACCGCTAGCGCTGCCTTGGCTACCAGCTCTGGTAAACCGGCGAGCACTTGGCCCAAAATGTGTTGCACGTTTTGGGTTAGTCTCGCACGTAGAATCAGGCGAATCTCGTAGTCGTGTTGGGAGCTGCTCTGCTGGCAAGCTAGCACCAGAGAAATTGGAGAGTGATCGATGGCGGTGCGTGATTAGTTCGGGTCCAAAGAAAGGGTCAGCGGTAGCCAATGGAGAGGAAGGGTATGGTTGTTGCTGCTCCACACTCATCAGATGGGAAGTAGCTACAACGGGCGACATTGAAGTTTGGCGGTCGGTAAATCCCCCGGATTCGTTGACACCAAAGTTGGCGTAGATTGAGCCCGAAAAGGATTTCGTAGTCAAAGGCATTGGAGACATCGTAGATGTGCCAGCTTCATGAGGCGGTGGATTGGTTCCTGGTAGATTGCCTTCCGGAGTGAGGGGCCCTGCACTCATCAGCATTTGTTGTTGTTGCTGCTGCTGGTAGGCCTGCTCTACGGCCGTAGCTTGCTGCCAGAGGTGCCCCGTCCGAATCTGATAATCCTGAATCGAGCGAGTAATGCTTGTTAATTGATCGTTGAAGCTTTCTTCGATACTAGCACGTTCGCGTTCCTTAGCAAGCTGCTCCGCCGCTCTCCGTTCAAGCTCATTGAGACCCTGGTTATTAGCACTTGTAATGCGTTCATGCTGTTCGGTTAGTCGCTGTTGACGCCCTTGGAGTCGCTCCCGCTTCTGGATGGCCGAGGCCAGTTCTGATTTCGCTGAAGCTACACTACGGTTTGCCGTCCTCCTTGCGGCGTCCACTTCCTCCTTGAGTGATTTCACCCGATCCATCTCTTGATCAAAGGCACATTTTCGAGAATTCCACTCTTCTAGTTCCTCTTCCGGGGTAGCTTTTAGATTCCGTAACTGAACATCAATGGCGATAGTAGCTTCTTCGGTCTGCTTAATTGTGCGCTCAAGTTGTAGCAATCTTTGCCTCTGCCGATTTTTATCGGAACCACCGCTGAGACGTGTATTGAAGTTATCAACCTCTTTCTTCAACTTGGAAATAAGTAGCTTGTGATCATTTTTTGACCGCTTGAGCCGTGCACGACGTTCATTCAACTTTGCCTCGGCATTCGCAATGGAATTTTTGATGGTAGTGGTGGGAGAAGAGGGCCGGAGAGATTGCCGTGGCGACGGTGACACATTAATGGCCGAGAGTGCTGCAAGACTATGTCAGTGGTAGTTCTATAAAGAGAATATATGGACTTAGATTGGATTCGTTTTACCTTGGTCTGTGTCGGGGGTGGGCGGAGTTTTCACACTCATGACACAGATAGTTTCATTCGTATCGTTGCGGATGAAGCTGCAAGTGTACGCACAATCTGGCGCCAGCCCGGAAATTTCACCTCTCCAGCAGACAAGCGAGGGTTCGTCTGGGTTCTTACGTACTCTAGAAAGAGTAACAGGAGCCCAGTGAGCACCGTTAACTCTGATATAAAAAGGTTGCCCTCGAACATCCTGATCGCTATTCTCGTATATAGCATCATCTACTTGAGCAAAATCGCTTGCCGCGAACATAATCGAGGAATTATCTACCTGTGTAATCCATATAAAACCATCGTTCAAAGGAAGCCCTTCGACATCGTCCTCAGTGACCGGGTGGTGAGGAGTGGACCATGTTCCATTTCGCGAATGATCATACTCTCGCATAACGGTGACTTTGGTACTGGCCAAAGCAGCCCAAAACGGTTGTCTACTTCTCACTTGATTCGCTTGTCTTCGTCTTCTCTTTGCGCTGGAAAGTCGTTCTCGGTTTTCCTTTAGTAGTGATGGTCCTATGACAGCACCATCAGGGGTTAAAAGAGACGCACCATTCGTAGCAGATTCGAACGCAGATGAATCGACGTGAGTTGGGGAACCGGCAGATGCTTCCGTGTCAGTTCGTCTTCCGGATTTTGACGGTGTGGAAGAGCGGTTTTTGGCCATCGAGCGCCTTGCCATAGCAGTGCCTGCTTGTGCAAGGATATGAACAGCAAGTAGACTTCGCAACCAGCTTGGGGGGGATGGAGGCTCTTTCCGTCGCCATTCTTGAGGAACCAGGTGGGAATATTGAGCGAGCGTATCCGTAGTTATAAGTTTGGCCGACAAAAGGTAACTGATAACAAAGTCCTGAACACCTTTACTCCGAACGACGTGCACGATCAAAACCATCATGACGCAAAAAGCATTGACTCCTTCATTTTTCCCCGAGCTGCCTCCTCCCATCGTGATCGCAACCTGGACCTGAGCGAGATCTATGGCAAAATTCTGCGCCCACGTCCACATAAACAGACCCCAAACCAAGAGACAGAATCCATCCATGGCGATCATAGTTGAAAGTGACGGAGTTCCGGCCGGGCCCTGGAAAATGTCGAAATTCGAGGTCAAAACGTTCGTGGACACACCGGCAGGAGGCATGAAGGTCAAAGATGCAAACAAAAACTGGACAAGGGTCAAGACGATGGGAGGCAATTGTAAGAGAAAGATAAGGATCGCGATAGTGTCGTACATCGGGCATGATTTGAGAATCGCAGAGGCCAAAGAAAACGGGTTTACCGAGCTGTTCGACGATGTCTTCTTCAACGACGAGGCGCCACCGGCTGACTTGTCCACGTTTGTTGAAGTTTGATCCCCAAACACAGTTGCTGGCATGACTCCTCCGTTCGTCGAAGCGAGTGGGAACGAGTGTCCGTTCGACATGGTCGCGCTGACTTGTTCATATCCGTTTGCTTGAGCCCGCCCGTTGGATTCCATCTTGGTTGAGTACGTTATCCCACCTAGTTCGTGATACTTGGCAGGCGTTATTGCTTGAGGTTGACCTGACGGAGTGCCTGAGGCGTGCGAAGAGGGCGCGGGCAACTGTGCACTATTAGGATTGCCATTCAGGTGGCCATTTGACTTTGACTTGGCGAGCTTTTTCCCGGTAACAGCGATGCCGTTCTCATGTCGATTTCCGTGATGAGTCTTCCTGCCCGTGCCTCCTGGTCGTGGCATGGACGAGGGATTCCGATCTGCCAGGTCCAAATCCACTTGGCAGGCGTGGGCCAAGGAACGGACACGCTGGTGAAGAGAGGGATGAGGGAGGGAGAGGAGCAAGTCGCGGAGGGGCTAGAACGAGAGAGACGAGAGATAGAGAAAGTGAAGAAAAACGAGGGCGCTGTCACAACGTCAATCAATGACTGTTCCAGCGAGAAGTTTGACGTGACGGTGACTGTTGCTGCTGGCGGGAGAGAAAAGTGATGCTGTCGGGTAGCGGTTTCAAGAAGTCTGCCTTCTGAGGCGTTGGTGGGTAGCGAGACCTGCCCGTACCGTACGGATACGTTCAGATTACCTGTATATACTTTGACTCCGTAATATGACGGTACCATGGAAGATTCTGTCTGGTTTGGTAATGAGCTTGGCAGCTGCACCTGGCTGGTATTCACGCGCAATATTACGATGTGCGGATTCCTCTGCATGAAGATCAAAATAACACCACGAAATAGCTCCGTACTCCGTACTCTGTACCCCGTACGTACGCTGTATTTGTAACGGCATTTACTTCCAAGCTTCCTGTTGGTGACTAAGCTATTTTTAGTTCTGGTACAGTACAAAACATCTTGATGATAGTAGCAAGCACTTGCACAGGTTTCTTAAGTGCTGACAGAGACATATCGAATAAATGCAATCGGAATTCATCGGGTACGGCCTGGACAGATTCAATGGCATACGCTCCAGCTAGAGATGTAGGCGTTGTTGGACCAGCAGATGCCTCTGCGACATCCTAGGCTCAGTGCTAACACAGATGTGGCTACGCAAATCAGCACTCTCTGTGGGGAAATGCTGCCAAGGCTCACAAGGCCGTGACAAATCCTCGGCCTGGAGCATCCGGGTAATTGGAAATTTTCGAATTCTGCTCCTGTTGATAGGCCAGGAGTGTTGGAGTTTGTGCAGAGAGGAGCTAGGCCTGGCCCCCCAGCGCCTAGTTCACAGATCTCAGTGGCCATCCTTGTTCGAGTCGTTAGCTCAGTCAAGTTAGTGCTGGTGTTTCACACTTACGATGGCCTCCCGATACACGGATACGATCCAAAATACCAAGCCTGCTAAAACCCGTACAGTACGGCACATCATACATCGCCCTACCATAGTGGGGAAAAAAATTCAAGGCTTGAGGTCCGAGCTTGATTGACGGAATTTTGGCAGCTGCTCGGGTAGTCAGGACTCGAGACGAAAGGGACGTGAACGAAATTCAAATGAAGAATATATTTCAGAACTTTCCCTCCTTCAAACAATAAACAAGTCAATCGCGTAGCTGACAACTGGTGTTGTATGGGGAGGCCGTCGTTTCAGCGCTAGCCCCTCCCTCGAAAACGATGTTAAGCATTGCCAGCTGGGCGAGTCAGATCATCCCACTAATACCTTGCTTGTGGGAAAGCGGCCATTGATCAGGACAGACACAGGTCACCCGCACTCCGCCGGCCCGCGCATCGGGTTCTCTAAGTTCGTAAACCCGAGCTAGAAGAAAAGTGCTGTTTGGACGAACAAATACGAGTTTAACTTGAGAAATTGGGAAAGGATGGGCGCTGTATTTGCCCAGTTGGAAAATGAAAGAGTTCATCTCGGCAGCCCTGCTGGTAGTCGAATTTGAATGAATCGGTGCTAAATTTTAGCCCGACACACTTTCTCACGGGTCACTGCATGGCCGTGACTCACAATGGTTGAGAGGTCTTCTCTCCAGTCATGAATGTCCAGGCAAAACTATCTGGCAACCATTAATGGAAATGCAGACCAACAAATTTGTTTTATCGGAGCGTGGGGTGTGCACGGCTGAGTTGGAAGATGGCCATGACTTCATCAAATGAGACGAGAATAATACGGAAAATGGGGTTGCTGATGGCTAAGGGTTCGCAGTCATGGTTCACACAAAGACAGATGAATTGATATTCTCGCACCGTGTCAAATTAACTTTCTCAGGCATGTGGTGGATGAACGTTGCTGCTGGGGCCAACCTCCATGCGGATTGCAGGTTGGATCGCTTTTGGGTGCTTAACCACAATTGATAGTGATTGATGATGATCCCAGCGTTGATATGAATAGCGGGGTTGGAATATCCTTCCTTTTCCCTTTCAGAGGCTCAAGGATGAAAAAGAACGTGTTACTACCGGCAGGAGGGGAAAATTCCTTGTTTCAATCAAAGCCTACTTACACACGACTACAACACTGAATGAGCTGTCTTCAACCGGAAGGGGAAGGCATGCAACAACTCAACGGTAACTAGTTGGATGACTATTTTGCTGTAACAAGGCAACACGGGATTGACATAGGCATGCCTAGGTGGGTAGTTTGCGCTGGCGGGCCAAGCAAGTTCTACGAGCGTGCGGATGTGGGATCCTAGCCGAAGAGCCCGGCCGAAGTCCTTACACCCCTAAGAATAGAGCCACCACTTGCCGTAGCTTGATGTTCAATTTGACATCAGAAAAATCATCAGCAAAAAAGCTAGAAGACGGATAGCTAATCAATCTTCAGCGCTCTGGGTTTATTAGTGCACTACCCCCCACGATACATTCGTTGCTTACAACGCACGGATCAGACGCTGGATATGGCTTCCTGTTGACCGCCTGCAGAAACAACACTGAGAGGAAGAGGGAGCTCCTCCGCAAAGTGCTATGTGATGGACGACCTTGACAAGCTTCAAGATTCCTCCCGTTCGCCACGTTTGGGACCGGAGTCATTTCATCAGCCTGAGTCAAGGGAGTCAGCAGAGAGATGTGTGCCAATTGGACGCGGTTCGAAGCCTTGATATCCTCACATTGGTCAGTAGAGGTTGAGTTCTGGCATATTTCCCTGACTATCCGATAGGACCGATGGGAGAGCTTGTGCCCGTGTTCAACAATCACCAAGCTACATCATACATGTACAGTACATATCCTGATAGTCGGCCGCATCATTACACCTGATCGGGAAATCGGGTACTAGATGACAGCCTCAGGGGAAGACGTGACCATACTGTAACGTATCACTGCGTATTAATATTACGGCCAACCGGTAATACCAAAACCTTCACGCGCCGAGAGTGAGGAACCTTGGAAACAATGGAGCCCGAGTGGGATAGACTTTCCTGATGTCGAAGTGTCAATTTCAATATAATTGTGCCTTGTTGTGCAATGGAGAACCAGATATTACCATTACTGAGAATTTCAAGGATTGGGAAAGAGAGAACTCCACTTGAGGAAGTTTGAATTCAGCAAAGTTTATCATCAAAAAGGAACAAAGACTTAAAATGATTTAAAATTTAAAATGAACAAGTGGAAAGATTCATATAAATTAATGGGGTGAGTTTTGAGAAAGCATCCAAATCAGTCCGTGATGCCTTAATTAAGCCTTGAGTGTTGTGTAACGGGAAACACTGGATAGCAAAAGTGGATATCTCGAAAACTTGCGTGTAACAAAATCATCTTAACATCTTTAAGCACTCACCACCCGGGGACCACTTTCTATATGAATACAATCTATATACCCTTAGACAAATTTGACATATATATCATCCCGAAGAGCCCATATCCTCCACAGCATCTGGCCGATCCCAGCTAGATGTTTCCAGCCCTCTCACTCGATCTTCGATCTCCTTCACCTTCAAACCCCACGTCCGCCTAGATTCTTCCTGCAATTCCCACGTTTTCCGGAACTGGTCCATCATGAACGGCGGCAGCGTCTTTACTTTGCGCCCAAGCTGGTAGTCATATGTGACAATGTCCTCACGACAACGTGCGGCAGGCCGCTGATGTGCCTCGGAAAGTATTAGAACATCTAGCTGGAACGATGAATATGAAGAGGACTCTGGAGAAGAAGGCGCTGGAGGAGGATGTGATAGCTTGTGGTATACGCTTATTTTATCTGGAGCGGTCATAGGCTGCACATTTTGATTTTTTGAAAACGCCAGCCCACTAACGTTAGCAGTCATGTTGTGGTGGCTGTGGCCGTGCAGGTAGTTGCACTGGCTGGTTCTATTCGACTTAGACGAACTGATCGCACAGCATATCCAGGTATATGATACATGTACATCACAGTGTGCGAAATGGCCTCTTGAAACTTACAAATTTATAATCTATCTTGATGCTTTTCAATATCAAACCCACTCCGGTCGAACCAAGAAGGTTGATCCATGCCCTCCTGTTGGCACGATCCACGTGGGTACCAATGTTTCTTGCCCAATTGACCCGTGCGGTCTCCGCATATCTCACGTACGCTACATTATTTACGTGGCCTGAAAATATCGCGGTGGGATTAGACATCCGTTACTTGTGTATATGGGAGCCGAACATGGCGGCTTGGCAGGGGAACGGAGAGCTCTACCCTTATAATTGGCTTATTTCAGCAGGTTGTACAGTTCAAATGAGCTTAGAAAAATGATCGAGAGAGAGTACACAAATGGGGCACATTGTGTATATCAACTGTAGCATATTGCGGTCACGGGGGTAGAAATGGAAGAGAGAGGCTACACACCATGACATCCTGTCAGGTTCGGCGAAGGGCAGAGTAATTAGCCTATCAAGCCAAACTCTAGCAATTGAATGAGCAGTTATATACCATTTCCCCCCACACGACATTGTGGCGGTAGAGGCCCCGCCTCTCTACCCCCGTGAGAAACCCTTCGCTCCCCGCGGTCAACTCCCGCCAATCCCGAGCTAGAACCTGGAGGATCTCCCCCGCCTCGTTAACTTGGTGTGACTTCAGTCCGAACGCAAGGCATTTTCCTAGCCGCCCTTTAATCGTCGATAGCCATCTCGAATCGAATTCACGCGTAACCGGAGCAGATGGAGAGGTGTGAGAAGATTGATGTACGGCAGCACGGGCATTGACTGCAGCAGTGCTCGTAACGGACCGACTGTTTGGGGGTAACAGCCGGAGCTGAAATTGTAATTTTTGCCACGAAACGGGGCGAGGGACAGCCATTGTCTTGTCCAGGGTATCTCTGGGCCGTCTCTAGACAACAGCGTTGTTTAGATAGAACTTACCTCACACAGGACGGCTTTTCCCAAGTTTCTTGTTCTTCTGGTTCAGATCTGAGGTCGGCTTCGGCTTACTTCCCGACTCGTGTGGGATGGTTAATCTGTTGTATTCGGTTGGAAGAGCTAGCTATATTTATATGACATATGAGATCACGTGTAGGCGGAGCAGTCGCTATGGCAACGCCACTGGGGCGGACACTACACCCCTCGCATGGCGATGCGAGGTCTCAAATGCCATAAAAAAGATCAATCATCTCTTACAAATCTAGCTATGCCATCCTTGAATCCATCTAAATCATGCTATCTACATTGAGTTTGAGTAGTATTCTGTCCCTCTTCATCTATAAACCTAGTAAATCAAGGAATTGATAAAATGCAATTGTAGCGGGCTGCGCCCGATCAATCGTATAGACTCCATAGATTCCTACCGAAAGCTCCGATTCTCGGTCGCCGATCCTCGGCTGAGGAACCCACGGAGTTCCGTTCCTATTCTCCCACTCCGAAGCTCCACCTCATACGCGTATAAATATCCACTTCAATTGCTGATTCCCGCACTTTCTCTTTTCCTTCTCTAACATTTTCCACTTTTGTTATATAAGACCTATATCTTAATGCTGATCTATTCAGCGTAGGCTTCTTACACTTGAAAAACATTCATGTAAGAATAAGTGCTCGCAGTTGTTTATTCAGATGTTTGCAGCTTGGCGTGATATGTACTTGTAAGAAATCCCGCTCCTCGCGGATCCTTTACCCCTATTCCTATCTTGTCGCGTAACCAATAGGGTTAGCGGCCCTTGGCTACACACAACTATATAGACTGGAGTTCATGAATACTATTTATAACTCAGCTTGAATACTATTATACATTTAATCTTTACATTTTATCTTTCTATCATGAATAGTTCTAGTAGTTATCAGTACATATCACATTAAGCTGTAAATATCTAAATAATCATCTGTAAGTACTTATTCTTATATTTCAAGCTCTGTCAGTCAGTAATTATTTATTATAACTGAAAGAACTAGAAACTTACATACTTTAATTTCTATAAACTTGTAAGAATAAGTGCTCACAGGCAATTATTCAGGTGTTTATAGCTTGATATAATATATACTATTAACTACTAGAAGTATTCATGATAGAAAGATAAAATATAGAAATTAAATACATAATAGTATTTAAGCTAAGTTATAAATAATATTCATAAACTTCAGTTTATATAGTTATATGTAGTCAAGAGTCACTAACTCTATTAATTATTTCAGAGATAGAAATAGAGATAAAGAATCTGTGAGAAGTGAGATTTCTTACATACTTCTTTCTCTCTAAGACTTTATTTATAAAGTCTTTTACTAAGTGATTTTATAGAATCAGACTTAGTACTGTAGTAATACTTACTAAAAACTCTTCATATCTATAAAAAAACTTTGTGAGGAAAAATTCCTTATTACTATAAAGAGAAAAGAGTCTATTACTCAGTTTCTTATTCTATAAAATTCTTTATAATCTGCAGATCTTTCTCTGACTATTATACAGATTTATCTTAGATCTTTTATATAGAAGAGTTCTGATTAACTTTTAGCTATTTCTATGAAATTCTTATATAATTATTACACAGAGTTATTTTACAGATAAATCACTTTCTATAAAATTACTCTTATTAAAGAGAAGTATTTATAAGTTAATCTTTTACTTATTCTGATAAATTATCATTCTTTAACACTGTAGAATTATGAGGAATTTTTCATTCTTTTATTAACTCTGTAAAATTGTAGAATTAAGATATTCATAGTCTGCAATCACTCTTTATAATTATATAGAAAGATTCAGATCTGTAATTTATAATCACTTTTTATTTATTAAAGTAATGTGATTATTCTGTGAAATCACTTATAGTGTAAATAAATCTCTCTAAAGTAGTATAAATATCTCAGATCTGTCTGTGAAATCTTATCTTCTTTTTTCTTTTTCTATAATAGCTCTTATTCTTATAAACTGTGTGTATCTTTATTCATTTATAAAGTGTTTTCACTTAGATAATAGAGAGAGAGTGTTTCTGACAATATCTGTATATTAATTCAACAACTTCTTAAGAATAAATTTTTTTTTTAATTTCAATATCTTGATAAATAATATCTAACTACTGCTGAGCTTCTTATAAGTGTCTCTGTGACTTCTCTGATCACTTTTTACTGACTGATGAAGTAGAAGTATCATCTCTTATTATAATAAGCTGCGTCTGATTATTATCTAGACTATTTTATTACAATTCATAGATTTTACTGAAAGCTTTGATTCTCAGTCATTCTCAATTGCTGATTCTCAGCTGAAAAACTCACAGAATTTCTATTCTTCTGCTCTGAAGCTTTACTACGTATACTATTATATATATGTATAAATATTCACTCTAATTGCTGATTCTCATACTTTCTCTTTCTTTTTCTTCTTTAATATTTTTCACTTTGTTATATAAGATCTATAAATATTATACTGATC